TAGAGAAGCACAATGGAATTACTTTGGGGGTTTTTTTTTTTTTTTTTTTTTTTTTTTTTTACCAGAATACTGATGCCTGGGTTCCACCTAAGTCATTTCTGGGTTCTAAATCCAGAATCATTTCTGAATCATTCATCTGAGGTGTATCCATATTACAACTCTCAGGTGATACAATGTACAACTTGGGCAGAGAATGAATAATCCCAAGTAGCTCCCTCATTTTGATGATGAAAAAATTGGGGCCCAGAAGAGTTAAATAATTTGAGGTCACTTCTAACTCTAACTAACTAAGTCATTTCTGGGTTCTAAATCCAGAATCATTTCTGAATCATTCATCTGAGGTGTATCCATATTACAACTCTCAGGTGATACAATGTACAACTTGGGCAGAGAATGAATAATCCCAAGTAGCTCCCTCATTTTGATGATGAAAAAATTGGGGCCCAGAAGAGTTAAATAATTTGAGGTCACTTCTAACTCTAACTAACTACATGGGCACAACACTGCTTTTCAAACCTCATAAGAACTACGTTTGGTTCCCATATGTGAGCCTCTGAGGCAGTGGTTGGTGCTGCCCCCAATATTTCCTATAATTATATTATAATAAGCATAGTCTTCCTCTTTGAACTCAAGGAAGTGCTGGCTCTGTTCTGCCCCTCACTACTTTCCCCTCCATTCAGCCTCAAGGCAAATGACACCCTTAATTTCCTCAAACCCTCTGCAAGTGGAAGGGAGGAAAGAATTAGCACCAGTCATAATGTTATAAATACAAATAAATTGAAGAGTCCAGCCTTTTCCATCTCAATCTATACATCAAATTCTGTCTCAAGTACCATATTTTGCAGCGAAGTGTGGTCTACCTTAGATTAGTTCAACATTTGAGGCTTTCTTAGGAATTAGTCCAGATTGTTCCCTGATTTTTATGCTCATTTGCCCTTCTTAAGATGAGCAGAATGACCAAATCTCTCAGGAAATAGTCACATGGATAGCATATACACAGAAGACAACTTATTGAACAATCAGAACTAAACCTAACATCCAGTGTTAACCAAACACCAACAAAATGACTCTTTCTTTCCCTCAGACCTCACTAAATTGAATAAATGGGTTCTCTTCGTTGGCCTCTTGTATACAGCCTCCATCAAATTTATTTCTGTGGAAAATTTCACATCAGTGGATATGTGCTCCAAAGAGTATCTGCTAAGATTTTCCTCAAGCACTCCCAAAGTTTCATACACCTGATTTCTGAAGTTTCCACTTCTCCAGATGAGCCATATTGGCCTCTCTTTATTCGCAAGAAAAGGAGGAATTCATAACGTGTTAAGCTCCACACTGTGACGACATTCAAGGCCTCTGGATATTGCCTCCCTTTCTTTCTGTCCTAATGACTCAGGCCCTTCCCGAGTTCCAAAGATTCTTGGAATCTGAACCACACTCTGGAGTACACTGCTGTCCAGTAGTGTGGGAAGAGAAATAGAAGGTTGGGGCCATGGAAGGAGAAGGTGGGCAGCAGGACCCCTGGCCTCTGCACTTTTGCGCGGTTTTGTTTCCCAGGGCAATCGCATCCGTGTCTAGACAAAAACATTTTCTGAGAAATAATGGTCATTGCTGTCCTCTTTCCTGGACCAACTTTGGCAGATATTAGCTGAAAACAAGTCTTTTCTACTCTTTACTGGAATGGTATTCTCGTTGCTGTTTCTGGAATTAGTATATTTTTTATGCCTTGCTCCTCCTTACCATAAAGAAAGGAGAGTCTCATTCACTGGGTTGCACCCATTTGTTTGATCCACTCATTCAGTAAACATTCATTAAGTGCCCTCTGTGTGCTCAGACCACTATTAGTACTACAGCATTAGAATTATTAGAAATATGCCCCCTCCTCTACCAGTGATCAGTCTCACCAGGAAGATAAGACAAGTGGGGGAGATAATAGGACCATTTCCAGAAGACAACTATAGTGCAGATTAATGTCACCACGTATAGTAACTTTCTTCAAGAAAACTGTATTCAAAATAATTTTTGTACAAAAAAATTGTATTATAGGTATACTAAGTAAACTTTCTCTTGTAAAATTTATGAGAAAGGACACTTAACCAATACTAGAGAACAGTGGTATCAAGTCCTGAAGACTTTTTCTGCCTTTAAAATGAATTATGCTTTGAGATCAGCCCAGATCTTGCCCTAAGTTTAAAAAGACTAAAAAAAAAAGTGCACACTAGGAAGGTAGAGATATGGTATGAACAAAGTCTGCAAAATACTGAAGTGTAAATTGGGTAAATATAAACTTTATTCAGCAAATCTCAAAATATTAAAATGTAAGCTCCTTTCTCAAAAGTTACAAAAGTTCTGGAAATTTTTTAAATGAATAAATGCTACCCATTTTTAACCATAAAGTGATAAAGTTATAGACCTCATTATAGCCAAAGTTAATATAGCTTGATAATATGGTTAGGATTGGAAAAAAATTTAGATAAGTAAATTAAATTAATCATTTGCGATAATGGGCATGTTTAGGGTTCCTGTGAAGCTAATAGCCAAAAGAATATGTCCTGACCTGGGTTTTATTCCTTGCTGTGAAAAGTCAGACAAGTCATTTTCCCACTCTGGGCCTCACCTGAATATGAGGGTTTGGACTGGATGATCTCCAAGTTCCTTCCTTCTCTGCCATTCTGAGAAATCATTATTTGGAGCTGCTGGAGGAAACAGGATACAGGGCTAAACACCCATGGGTCAGATGCAACAGCATAGTTCTGTCATTCTAAAAAGAAATTTATGGTAAATTGTAATAAACATGTTTTCTGTATGCTTGTTCATAATTACTTTTACATATACAGTAGTCTTTCCTTATCAGAGGGGGTTACTTAGGTTCCAAGCCCCCGGTGGATGCCTGAAAGCACAGATAGTACCGATCCCTATGTATACTATGTTTTTTCTATACATACATACCTATGATAAAGTTTAATTTATAAATTAGGCACAATAAGAGATTAACAATAATAACTAATAATAAAATAGGACAATTATAGTAACTACACTATAATAAAAGTGCTGTGAATGTGATCTCTCTCCCTGTCTCTCAGAATAGCTTCCTATACTGTTCTCATCCTTCTTCTTGGGGCAATATGAGATGATACAAGGCCTGCATAATGAGGTGAAGGGAGGTGAATGACTGACATAGGCATTGTGATATAGTCTTAGGCTACTATAGGGGTTACTTGAACACAAGCACTGAGATACCACAGCAGTCGATCTGATAACCTAGATGGTTATTAAGTGACTAGCAGGTGCAGAGCATACATGGTATGGAGACTCTGGGCAAAGGAATAATTCACGTCCCACGCAGGATAGAGCTGGACAGCGTGAGATTTCATCATGCTTCTCAGAATGGCACACGATTTAAAATTTATGAATTGTTTATTTCTGGAATTTTTCATTTAATGTTTTCAGACCACAGTTGACTGCAGGTACCTGAACTCGTGAAAGGTGAAACTGCAGGTAAGGGGGGACTACTGTAGAAGCACTGAGAGGTTATAGAGCTATGAGCAGGTATGGAGAGGTTAGAGGGGCTTAGGTTAATCAAGGGGTTTCTTGGAGATAAATCTTCCCTGAGTTTTGGAAGGTAGGTCAGCTGATGGAAATAGGGACCAGTGACAGGTGCCCAGCAGTTATTAAGAACACTGGCCGTAGTCATGAATGCCAGCATCTCCCTGGAATAGCCAGCACACACAGCAACTTGTATGATGTGATTCAAGAAATTACTCTGGACTCCCTTCTTCCAACCAAAAACATCCCTCCTGCCTACTTGCCTAAAAACTGCCCTACCTGTGGACTTTCTGTAATGAGATAAAAAATTTCATTTTTGTTTAAGAAAATCAGAATCAATGTTTTATGTTATTGTACATTAAATTTCATTTACCTTAGAAAGGGCGATATCATTTCCAGGCTCTGTAGGATCAGAAGACTTCATTTCTGCTCCCATTGTTCCCAGAGTCCTTGGTAGGCCCTCTGTACCATTGAAACTAAGATGACTAAATACAGACAAAAGTTCTAGCAGCTGGCAGCTTGGTGGAGTAAATCAACCAGGTTCTGAAGGCAGAAATAATCCAGTGAGTTCATTAAATTGTCAGTTTCCTCATCTGCAAAGCAGGAATCGTGATATCAATTTTGTAGGGTTATTGTGAGGATTCAATGTGATAATGTATGTAAAATATCTGGTACATAGAAATTAACTCATATTGTTGCCATATGTTGGGAAGTATTCACATTTTCAAAGAGGTCTGTTGGAGATAGATCCTTGGCATGAAAAAAAATGGATCTTTGATACCATCAGAGAAGGTACAAAGCTTTAGCAACTACAGGTTCAGAAATGTGGGGACTTCCTTACAGATAAAAGAAACCATGGCTCTACTTTGCCAAGACTAGGGTTTCTGTGGCAATATGATTCTCTTAAAATTTAGTAAACTTCCATCAGTTTACTGATGGTCATATCAGCAAATATCCCATGGTCAGTTCCATGGGATATTAACCACGGGTCAAAGACTTTTTCTAGATATAATCCCTGAGTCCCCTGAATGGCCTTTGTGCTCTCCCATTCCCCTGGACATAGTTTACAGACCTCTGTCCAGAGGCAATCTATATAATATTCTCAGGCAGGGGATCCTCACCACAAAGCTGATTTTGCCCACATGCTGTCCAAAGTATCAGGTGGAGAAGCTTAAAGGAAATGGTTTGAGAGAGTCCTAGCCAGTAAGGCTTTTTTGGGCCTTGGTATCTCCTTAATATAAGATTCCTGCTTGCTTCTCTGCTTTTGTATGGCATAAGCTTCTCTCTTTCTTAGAGGACTTTACTAACGGCCACAAAGATAGCCAAAACACACCTACACATCAATATCCTTAATTTTCCATCCCTTCTGCTGATACTAAGCCCTCAATGGGCATGCACTTACTATACTTGCCCAAGGTTACACTGAAAATTGCTGGATCACTTAATTCACAGCCACAAGCAGCATCTCCACTTTGCAGCCCTGAACAGCAGAACTCTTGATCCTCACTGCCTGCTGTCACACCTCCTCAGCTCACCCATTCCTCATTTGAGGGTGCCTCCACTTCCTCACACCAAATTCTATGGTTAATATGCCTTCTCTGGCTCCATGTTTATCTCCCACAGTGAGTGCAGATTCTAAGACACACGCTTTGCCTCACAGGACACCAGCTTTGTTGGCCTGCCATCCTTGGCTCAGCCTTCCCACATGTGCTAGTTTCATCTTCGGGCTGGCAGGAAAACAGCCATGGCATTTCCTAATGGCACATGCAGACATGAACACATCTTTCCTACATTTTTCTTTGGGAGCAGGAATTTTCCCGGAGTCTGCTGGCAGTTTCTCCTAATACCTCATGGGTCAAAATGTTATGTGCCTACTCCTGGACCAGTCACTGTCACTGTAAGGGCAATGGCATCACCATGTCAGTTTTTAAAGTGTGGTTTGGGGCCCCTGGGGTCCCTGATATCCTTGCAGGTGGTCCATGAGGCCAAAGCTATTTCATAAGAGCATCGCCTTTTTCTCTCTCATTCACTCACAATGGAATTCTACAGAGACTACATGCCATGTGAAATCACAGCAGACCAAATGCAGAAGCAGATATGAGAATCCAGCTAACTTCTATTGAGCCAGACGTTAAAAAGAGACTTGCAAAAATGTAAGAGAATGCCACTCAACATACTAAATATTTTTAGTTTGGGAAAACATAGCCATTTTCATTAAAATATGCAATTTAGGTTAACATACACTGGGCTTATTATTATCTTTAATTCAAAATAGTTTAAAAATTCCTCAGTTTTACGTCAAATACGATAAGTACAAATAGATATAACTTACATAAAAAGGAAGCTCTTTAGGTTTCTCAATAATTTTTAAGAGTGTAAAGAAGTCCAAAGACCAAAAAACTAGAGAACCACTGCTTAAATTAATCAGTTCTACATGCCCAGGTTGGGATGAAGTCAGCATCCTCTAAAATCCTGAGTTATACAGAGGAGGGTGCTATCTGAACAAATCAGGATTCTGTTAGAAAGGAGTAAAGGGGAAATAATTACTAGCAGACAACCAACAATGTCTACTACAGTACACAATGTTTTTGAGCTAAACCACGAAGTGCAGTGACTTGCCCAAGGTCATACACAAGTCCTGGTGGAGTCAGAACTTAAAACCAAGACTTCTGACTGCTAGTCAGAATTAGTCAAACCTCTGCCTGCCATGCTTTCTGCTAAGCCACATTGCTTTCTTGCAAAAGGGCTGAAAGTGGTTCAGAAATGCTGGTGAGGTTGGAGTAAGTTGAGCATGCTCATAAAATGCTGGTCAGAGTATAAATGGTACAGTCCTTCCAGAAAGCCATTTGGCAATATGCATCAGGAGTTTTTAAAATGTTTATACCCTTTAACCCAGTAATTCCACTTCTAGGAATCTACACAGAGGAAATAGTCAGAATCTATGTACAAGGATATTTGTCAAAATGTTATCTTTGATAATGGAAACAATCTAAATGTTCAACAACATGGGAATTGTTGAGCAAATTCTGAGAAAGCTGCTAGCTGTTTGTAGTGGTTTTCTCTTGAGATGAGACTATAGGGAATATCCATAAACATCAGTATTTTTTTTTAAAAAGTTTATGATACTTTGGTGATCAAAAAAATAATAATATAAAAAATAATTATGACTTTGTATATGTGCTGCCAAAGTGAGCACAAACAATAATGACTGAAAAATTTTAATGGCATGGGAAAATACAATATGCTGTTGAGTAAAAAAAAAAAAAAGCATGGTACAATACTTAATATCTGATATGATATCATTTATATATGTGTGGGAAATTTTCAAGAAAGAAGCATTCTAAAACGTTAACATTTGTCATTATCTCTGGGGTATGAGATTGTTGACAATTTTGTTCTTTAGTCTTTTCTGAATTTTTCAAGGCTCTAGAATGAGCATTTTCTTCTTTTGTAATCATGGGAGAAATTAAGGTTATTATACAAATACAGTTGGCCTTCGAACAATGTGCAGGTCAGGGATGCCAACTGCCAGCAAAGTTGAAAATCCACATATAACTTAAATCAGCCCTCCCATACATGGATTTCCAACCACCAGCTGACCATCAAAAAACGTGGGCTTGAACTGCATGGGTCAATTGAAAAAAAATCTATGTATTAGTGGACCTGCATAATTCAAACCCTTGTTGCTCAGAGGTCAACTGTAGATTGGTGCAGAAAGAGGAGAAAATGCAGCAAAGCCAAACTTCACTGCTTGTCAGACAGGGAGAGGAAAAGAGCGGCCCGTAGCCCAGCTGATGGCTGGCACTGTTGGTTGCCTTGGTAATGGAACCCAGTTTTGCTTGGGCTAGCAATGTGCGAAGCTCCAGGCAAAATGCTCACTTGCTCAGGCTTTCTATAGCCTGAGGTGGCCATGTGACACACTTCCAGCCAATGAGACGTGAGCAGAATTCTCCCCAGGGCTCTGGGAAGCTACATCTTCTCTGTTTCCTTTTTATTTCTGCCTTGAAAACGTATGTGATGGCTGATGCTAGAGCAGCCATCATTCGACCACAGGGTGAAGGCTGAAGAATCACAATAACGTCAGCCCTGATATTGAGCTACTGAACCATCACCAGCAAACATCTTACTATGTGAGAAAAATATCCCTCTTTGTGTTTGAGCTGTTGCAGTTGGGTTTTCTGTTAACTATAGCCAGATGCATTCTTGATACATCACCATGCAGGAATGTCCAGAGGGTTAAGTGAGACCATGTACTTGAAAGTGTTTTGTAAACTTTAAAATACTATCACAGCCCAGAGATAATGACAACCATTACAAACAACTAGTGAAAAACAGAAAAAATTCCTCAAGACAGTTGTGTGCACTCCACTGGTGGAACCTAAACATCTTGCTAACCATGACTGTAGACAAGACATGTCCTTGGGGCTGCACATTTTCCATCTAAAAAATGGACTAGGTAACACGAAGGCCCCATTAGCCCTCAGGTGTTGGGTTTTAGCGGTGGTTGCCAAATCCCCGTGCAGGCAGCCAGGGGCCCAGCAGGGACAAGAGGAGCTGCTGTCCTCCATGCAGACAATGAGCACAAGCTCTAGGTCTTCCAGGACAGTCCCAACCTCAGATATCCTGCACCACTATCATTCAGTTCAGACAATGTGTCTTGATTTCAGGTTTCGAATGTTGTTGTGAACATAGGACATCTCTATAGCAAGATATGATCATGTATATAACTAAAATATTATGTGTACCTATGGATCTATTAAAAATTCTCTTATTGAAGACAAACAAAAACACTCCCTTGCTTTGGATTCTCCTTAGCCTTCTGAGATAAACTGACATTTTCAAATACGTTTCTTAAACACTAAGGAAGAAGAAGCTCAGGCTTTCGATTCTACCAGTACTCATTGGCTCCAGGCCTCAGGACTCCTGGGCCTTGTTCTATTCCACATCCTGTCTGAGATGGTCACGTGAGATCCTCGAAAGCTGGAATGACTCCACAGTCAGCTTCCTGGGTCCCTACCTTCCAGCTCCTGGTTGTCTCCATGAGAATGATGTCATCTTACAGTACACTTTTAGGGGATCTCAGCTAAACATCCTGCCAACTCCATGGCCAAGTTCAAGGACAACTGTAACAATCTATATAAGTAAAATTAGCTTCCTGCTCCTTGTTTCCACATTATGTAAAAATGACCAAAGAGAATTCTTTTAAACCAAATTTAGAGGAATGATTTAGGATGGCCTGACTTACAAATATGGGACATGGGACTTTTCCTGTTGTCCCTGAATTGTGACTAACATGCAAACCTAAAAATGAGAGGCATCAAGAACCCTCACGCTTGACAGAAAGCTGCTGGTGAGTTGGGAACAAACTCTCCCAGCCCTCACCACAAGGCAAGCAAAGCAGTCTTACCTCCAGACATCATTATCCTTTCACCTCCTCTCTTGTCAATGTGGCATAAAAGGCAACTGAGGAAAAAGAGCATGCTGGCCACAAGCCCTTCAGCGAAGGCAAGGTATACAAAGATGGTTCAGAGGAGCTTCATCTGCTCCTGAGGCTTCATGGAAGGAGCTCATGGGTCAGTGAGGTGCAGGAAGCATAGGGCAGCTGTTGGGCTGAGGGATGGGATGTCCTTCCCAGAGAAAATACTGTTGGATGGACCAAAAAGAGACCCAATTTCTCCTCAGAGGGTAGGTGCCCATGGACAAAGTTGAAATTGACCGCCACTCCAAGAACCACAAGCACTCCATGAAGATCATCAGGTAAGTCACCGAGTCCCCTGACAACAGACCCAGAGCAAACCAGAGGAAGGTCAAGGACACCCAGCTACTATCTATACGTGACAGAGCACTCAAGGAGACCTCTGCTTCCAGGAGCTAAGGGAGAAGAGGGTGAGGAGAAGACCCCAAGCTGCAAGCCTGAGATTCTGGTGGAGCAAGGGCAGTGTTAGTGATCGGCTGATATTAAAGTTTTACACTGTATTTTCCTATCCATTTTTACCATCTCCCTGGGGTTTTCTCCTCACTATTACCACCAAGCCCCTCCTGTTGGCAAACCAACCATCCCACAGAAACCTTCTCTTGGACCCCCTGGGGGTGGGCTTAGATAGGTTGATGTTTCTCAAAGAAACGTTACCAAGTCTTCAGGTGAAACAGAAAAGAAGTAATGACAGAAGTAAGAAAATAAAAAGGGCATAAAGGAAGTGACTTTTTCAAAAGAAAAGTATCTGGATTCATGAATCTTAGAGAAAACAGTGAAGAGTTTGACTTGTCCTGAACCCCCTGGTCCTGAGGTGATTTTTGTCCTCTGGTGCCCATGTCCTGAGGTAACTGGCTCTACCTCACTCCTTTCTTTCCAGCTTCCTGGCCTGCTCTCAACACTTTAAGGAGTTTTCTGGTTCTCAGGACCCTGTGGCCCTTTACCCTCTTAGACTGCCTGTACCCTTCAAAGGAAAGGCCTTCAGCTCCCACTTTCATTTCACTGAATAACAGCTGATCCCATGGAAGTGGAGACTGACACCACAGAGAGCCAATGAACAATTGAGTCCAGCTGCTCAATCCACCCATCCAGAAGGGTCTAGAGTGAGGCAACAGAGCCGTCTTTTTTGGGCAGAAGATTGTGTTCCAACGTAACCTTCTATGGAACAGAGTGCAGGGCCAAAATCGCCCTTCAAAAATCCCTCTAGAAGGTACCATATTGGAGATCAACATGTAGTCTCTCATCAAGTCCACCTCTGCCAGTTCTTCTTCCAGAACAGTTTTTGGGAGGGTTGAGTATCAGATGAAGTTTGCTTGTGTTTAGGGATCACGTTACCTAAAATAAGTGTATTCTGTAATACCAGAAGGTGAACGAAGACTGATGGAGTTCTCAGCAAGTTTTTATTTTCTATCTTTTGCAGACTCTGGAGCACTTATTCATGGTAGACAAAAGCAAATAATTCTGTTCTGCTAAGCTGAATGCCCTCTGCTGAGGTACACATCTGGGACCCTAATGATGTGGTAACCAAAACATAAGCACAAAGAATTACAGAAAGGACTTTCTTTAACAGAACCTTTCAAAAGAAAAATACTAGATAAACTCAAGTTGTTAGTAGTTATTTGCTTAATTACTCCAGGCATCTGCTCATACATTGATGGCCAGCTCTCCTAGGTTCCATTGCCAAGGCTGTCACTGACCTGGTTATTGCTGGGAAAGGTCCAAGTACAGTGCAAAATTAAAACAAATCTATGTTTGAATTTCTGCTCTGTACTTACGAGCCGTGTTTGACCTTGAGCTACTCAAGTTTCTCTCTTAGCCTCAGTTTTCTCATCTGGAACATGAATATAATAATTAAAAGGATTGAATGAGGCAATGAGATTAAGCATAAAAAAAACCTCTTGCACATGAAGAAAAAAAATGGTGTAGATGATAGAGGCTCTGTTCATTTCTCTGGCAACCAAATCAAAGTTATGACGGAAACAAGGAGCAAGCAGCAAGCAAAAATCGCCTGGGATCTAGATGAATAAGCCATACAACTAGGGAGAAATCCAAGAAATCACCCTGCAATGGCAGAAGGTAGGATGGGGTGAGGACGTGGGGCTGCCCAGTCTCAAGCAGCTGAGACCGAGGCTGTGGCAACAGCGGCAGCAGCAGGGACAGACGGCTCTTAAAGGGGCCACGTCTGTGAGCAGATTTTCATGGTGACCGACATGCTCTCTCTGAGCACAAGTGCCGATTTGGCTGTGCGCAGGGGGCACCAGGGACTTACAGGGAGACATTAATGGAGTGAGGACCAAAGCGAGACTTGCTCTGTACAGAAATGCCAGCGGTATCCATTGTTCCCTGTTGAGCCCTCCCCCTTGCCAGTGTGCAGGACACAGCACTGCCATAGCTGTGACATTATCAAACTGGATAACAGAGGTTGCTCCGACCAGAGGATTCCCAGAAACTCTGCCTCCTCCAACTCACAGACTCACCCAAGCCACGTCCAGGTGCATCCTCAGCAAGTCAGGTGCTTCTTTCTGAGCAGCGCCTAGACTCACACTGGAGGCAGCTGGCATCGGTTTCTGGTGTGGCCTTTTGAGGCAACTACAAGTAGTATCTGTGAATTGCTTGCTGAATGTTAGCAGGTGGCCTCGGAGGGGTAGAGGCTTGGGCTAAATTTGACCTGCGCAGCCAAAATGGGAAGACAAAGAAACAAAAACCATATGAGAAAACAGAACAGAGATCCAGATATAATGGAGTCAAGTAATCTAACAGAAGCAGAGTTCAAAACACTGGTGATAAAGATGCTCAATGAACTTTTGGGAAATATAGAGAACTCCGATAAAGAGATAAAAAACAAGAAAATGGAAATGGAAATGGAAATGGAAATGATAAAAGGAAACCTGTCTGAAATGGAGAACACATTATCTGAGATGAGAAGTATATTCAATGGAATAAACAAAAGAATAAATAAAGTGAATAAAGAAAAGGTTAAAATGCCCTACCTAGAGGACGGGAAAGCCAAGGACACACAATCAGAATGGCTAGAGATGAGATGCCAAGACTATAAAAATAATTTAAGGAGCACATGGGACACTATTAAGGGTCCAAATATTCATCTGATGGGCATAACTGAAGAAAATCAAGATGTTGAACAGCTGTTTGAAGAAATAATGATGGGAAACTTCCCTCATCTGGTGAAGGAAATGGACATACAACCCCAGAAAGCTCAGAGAATCTCAAAAATCAGGGATCCAAAGAGGCCCACACCAAGACACATCATAATTAAAATGCCAAAAGTTAAATACAAAGAAATAATATTAAAGGTAGCAAGAGGAAAACAGTTTCTTATAAGGGAGCACCCATAAGACTAGTAGCTGATTTCGCAAAAGAAACTAAGCAAGACAGAAGGGCTTGGCACAAAGTATTCGATGTGATGAAGACCCAGGATCTACAGCTAAGAATACTTTATCCAACAAAGTTATCATTTAGAATTGAAGGACAGATAAAGAGCTTCCCAGACAGAAATAAGCTAAAGGAATTTATCACCACCAAGCCAGTATTACAGGAAATGTTGGAGGGACTTCTTTAAGAAGAAAAAACATGTATCAAAAACAAGAAAAAAGAATGGTAACAACTACATTCCTATCAATAAGTACCTTAAATGGAAAAGAATTTAGTGCTCCAACCAAAAGATAGAGGGGCTGAAAGGATAAGAAAACAAGACCTCTACATATGAAAAGGAAGGGGATGGCAAAAGATATTGCTTTGACGGACCTAGAAGGTATTAAGTAAGACAAAGATAAACACTACATGATTTCACTTATATGTGGAATCTAAGGAATAAAAAGAACAAAGTAATCAAAAACAGACTCACAAATATAGTGGACAATTTGGTGATGGATGGATGGGAGGAGGGTTTGGGGGGCTGGGAGTATAGGGTGAAGGGTTAAAGAAGTACAAATTAGTAGCTGATGGATGATCACAGGGATGGGGAGCACGGCAGAGGGAATGCAGGTAGCATTATATGATGGCTAGGTGGAGGGTCAGGGGAAGGAGGGAGCAATTGGGGGGATCGTTTTATGAAATATACAGATGTCTAACCAATGTACTGTATACTTGAATCTAATTAAAATAAATAAATTTTTTTAAAAATCTCTTGCATGGTCACTAGCCCAAAGTGTGAAACTCACCCCAGCTACAACAACAACAAAAATATTAGTTCTCTTCTCCTAGGACAATATTTTCAAATTGTGAGCTTGCAACAGCATCCCTTAGATGCATGTTTAAAATGCAAATTTGTACTCACCTTCCCAGAATTAGACTCTCTGGTGGTAGAGATTGGGAATTTGCCTCCTTAAGAAGTTCACACTTGATTTTTATGCCCACTAATGACTGAGAACAACTACCCTAAAGGAAGATTCTCTAAAGTCAGTTTTCTTTTCTCTGAGATAGTTGTCTCTCCTTTTTACCCATGTAGAGTGGGTTTATAGAATGTAAAGTATTCTTTCACTTAGAATAACATGAAGTTAAACAAAATTGTTTTATATCGTGTACCAAGGCAATATCATAGAAATCTGAAACAAACTTTGTTTTCACCAGTTTTGTTAATTTAAGACCTTTGCTAATAAAGCCAAGGTCACACGTTAGACATCTTTTTGAACTAATTTCCTTTCCTCTTATTTCAATGCAATTGACTGTTACTTTAAATATGCCACAAAACTTACTGTCTCCTTGCAAGCCTATCTCCACAGCTGGATGAATTAAAACTCGAACTCTATGCAACATGTTTCAAGAGCTTTAAGAATGAGTACAATTTTAGAAATCAAATCTCTATTTCCAAAGAATTATGTACAAAGATATTCATCAAAGCCTTATTTATCATTCAAAAAATGAAATATTGTGCAACCATCAAAAAATTACATTTTCATGAATGTTTACTAATTTGGAAGACATGGTCAGGATTTATCATTAAGTGGTTTAAAAAAAAAAAGAACACAAAACTATTTATAGAGTTGTTTTGGTTATCTATTTCTGCATAACAAGCCATTCCAAAACTTAGTGGTTTAAAACAACAATCATTATTATTTCTCAAAATTCTGGAAATCAAGAATTTGAGTAAGGATTAGCTGAGTGGTTCTTCTGCTCCATGCATCATCAAATACGGTCATTTCCTTCGTGGTGGTTAGCCAGTGGCTGTGCTGAATTAGAAGGTCCAAGAAGGTTTATTCACATGTCTGGCACCATAGTGTTTGTCTCTCTCAGACTAACTCACATCATGGTTGTCTCGTGGCATTCAGATTATTTACATAGCAGCTGGCTTCCAAGAGAGAGCATTTAAAGCATGCAAAAGCAGAAGCTGCATATCTCTGGAGGCTAAGCCTGGGAAGTTATACAATGTTACTTCAGCCATAAGCTACTGATAAGAACAAGTCATAGGGCCAACCCATACTCAAGGGGAGATGATATAGGCTTTGTCTCTCAATAGAAGGAATGGCAAAGAATTTGAGCCGTATTTAATCCACCATGACAGCAAATCTCAGAAGAGAAATGAGTCAAAATAATCTAACAAAAACCTATATAGATTTTTCAGACCTATCCTCAGCCTCATCCCCAAACCCAGAGCAAACAGAGGTCTGAATAAAGTTGCTCAGGCATAAGCAAGATAAAAAGAAATGGCATGGAAATTATGCAAACATACTACAGAAGAAAGAAAGAGAAAAGAGGGAAGGGGAGAAAGGAAGAGAGGGAGGGAGCGGGGAGGAAGGGAGGAAAGAAAATAAAAAGCACAGAAAGAATAGCATGCAAATGATAGACAAAGAACCCAGTGTGGAAGAAATCATAACCCAAGGAGAAGAAGGAATTCTCTAAAAGTGTTTCACACTAATAAACAACGTAAAAAAGGACATGAATTCAATACAAACAAAAGTCCGAAGATGAGATGATAAAACAATAGAACAGAGGGGAAAAAAGGAGAGCTATTGGAGCTAAGGAAACAAATAGAGAGGCAAAGCAAAATCATTACTGAATAAATGGATTTTAAAAAATGGACTAGATATACTGTATGTGAAAGTATTTGTTAGTGGAAAGGCCTGAGATAGTGCCAGTGAATATAGAAGACAAAGATGAGAACTAAAAGCAGTTACAGAGAAAATAACATACATGAAGGAAGGCAAAAGACCACTTGACATAAGCTATTTAGTGTCCCTGAGGCAGGGAAGCCAAGAATTCTCCCTGAAATTCAGGAAGAGTCACATCTGCAGGTTGGAAGACCCAGCTGGTTCCAGGAAACTGACACAGACACTTCAACACCAAGGTATAGCTTCTTAACTTACTGCAATTTAGGAATTCTTCAGGCATTCTGAAGATGATGTAAAATGTTAAATTAATACAACTCGAGTATTAAAAATAGTTAAACAGTGCTTGGCACTTAGTAAGTCCTTCTAAGTAAAAAATTTAGGCATGAAAAAGCAATTTACCTATAAGAAGGAAAAGTCAAGCTGACTTCAGATGTCCAAAA